CAATCGTCCCAAAAAACAAATATCAAAGTCAATTGTAAAAATGGGCTTTGCATTGACCAGACGGCTGATACGACTGGACAAACAGATCTGGGAAAAAACTCGATTTCATACCTTAAATTGGTGAGATAAATTTCTTAGCACACATAAAACTTCTCCAAGCACACAAAATCTCAAACGAAAGTAACCCACCCAGAATTGTTAGTTTCTTTAACTATATGAACCATAAAAATGTAGAATCAAAATCTTGGGTTTTTTTTAGCTCAATGTGGAGAGAAAGTGAGAGATATGTTTTGTTTAGTTCATAAGAATGGAGAAAGAAGAAGGGTAAATCAAATTTGGAAGCATTAAGAGCTTTAAATTGGTTGTTCATGGTGGTTGGGGTATTGATGAAAATGGCAACCTTGTAATTACTTGAAGATGATGAGGGTGAGATCGTAAAAATGTCATTTTTGGATGAAAATAATTGATGGCATTTTCGTGAATTATATGAACTTGTGGGGTGAATAGGGCAAAATAATTTTCCCCAAAAAAGGGAGGTTACTTGTGTTTGACTTCAAATTCTAGATCAAATCTGCAAAAAAAAAATCCTCAGAAATATCACTGATAACAATCATAGAAGGTGGTGAAGATCGATAAGAGGTTATGGAGGGTCAAACCAAAACCGAGCAAGGTGTGGACCTAAGGGGTGGCTTAAGGATATTTAAGCTGAAAGGGGTGGATTACTCGCTTTTCTCTCGAATTAATCATACCATTGTAGTTGCTAGAAACGACTCCAGAGTTTTGATGGCTTACAACAACAATATTACAGGATTTAATGTGATGTTTCTGTTTATAATTTTATCTTTTAGTACAGCATTATTTTTATTTATAAAATTAGAAATAGAAATACATAATTAAATGTTAAATTACAAAAAAACACATTAAAATATAAAATTATAAATAGAAATACATAATATTGTTGTAATATTTTATATATGTAGTTGTTATTTATAATTATTTAATGAATTTAAATTAGTTATAATAAATATAAGGACTATAGTATACAATACAAAAGGTTTTGATATTAAGTTTGAATCTTCGTTTTTGGAGAAGAACACCTTTATGATTCAAATATAAAATTGTGCAAATTTTGAAATATATAATTTTCACCTACAACTTTCCATTTGTCTCCCTAAAAGCATGTGGACTTGAAAAGTGTTAGATTCCACTATATGAAACTATACTATAAGAGAAAACTTTAGAAAATGATAATCAAACATATCACCTCCGAAATTATTTTTTTTTTTTGTAGAAGCAAATATCAGAAATGGGTTACATTTGTTGCACGAATGTCTACACCAATTCAAGACTACTACTCTACATGAAACATATTTACACTTAACCAAGTGTAGTAGAGCTTGTGCCAAACTGTATTATAATATAAAAAGTATAGTCTGAAAAGGAAACCATTCTTAGCACCTCCTAGATCGCAAATGGTGTTTTTGCAGAAGGTATGACACATGGGATGTAACAGTTTTAAAGAAGTGTAGTCCGATGAAAGAAGAAACACATGATAAAATTAGTGAATTTAAAGGCCGTAAAATTATTTGAAGCTACTTTAGACGAGATGTATACACACTTAACTATGTATATTCCAACATTTGACAAACTATACTATAATATATATTGCATAGTATAGACAATAGTTAAACCCAATAAACAACCTTCCAAATGACAAACTGTAATATAACAACTGTTGCACATTCACTTCAAAGGGGGACTGCACCGAGGTTAACAATGTAGGGAAACCAATAAATAAGGGGTGAGTGATGTAATACAACATACATAACTTCTGCAATATTACACTAGTTAAGCTTCCCCTAAGTATAAGGAGTGAGAGTAGTAGTTAAGTATGGGAAAAATGATAAATAAATAGCAATTGCTAACAAAGCAACAACATTAGTGGTCGCATCCATCCGCTCATATAGGAAATTGGTAGGATTTGACGGTGGAAAAGGCTTCAACTTCATATGCTTAGAGATGTGGTTATGAGGGTCTCTACTGTCTGTCAAGGTAGTGCACCGACTCAGGTTATGTGTGGCATTTAGTTCGAGGAGTACAACAGTTACAACACAAGATAACTCTATCAAATGCTAAACCATATTCGTGAACTAGATGAACCTAATGGCTGACTTATTTCAAGTATTTTATTTCTGTTGACCAAATAGAAAATTATGTACACACCAATTTGTTCATAAAAAAAAGGACAGTCTAAACGGGTAATGGACATAAAAAATTCCATTGCAGATTTGATCAAGGATTTTCCACAATTGTTTCTAATAAGTAAAGGCAACATCACGAGAATGGGTAGACACCAAAATTATAATATACTATATTACATAACCATTTAGTTTAGTAATGGATATATGTGGCTATAGTAATGGACAACCTTGTAAGCATACGTGTAAAGAGTCATACAACGCTTATTCTATAATTCGTTACCAATTAGTATTAGTTATTTATACATCCTTACTCTATAAAGGGAAACCCCATAACACTTCATTAACACTAGCATGCATGCTGTACTACATGCGTATCCCATCTAGTATAAACAGTTCATGCCAAGTTAACTTGTTATATGCGGTGTAAATCACCCTAGCATCAAATAGAGATATAAACAACAAACTTCTGCAATACTATTAGACTTAAACCAATATTATACTCATTGATACCACACATAGCACATGACACATAAATATGTTGACTTTGTTTGACAACAAATCCATTTGCATGTAACCACAACCAAAACAAGGATACTATAGTAGAAACATTGCCATATTTTATAAAAATACGTTGTTGATGCGAAAAAGGATCAAATATATACATCTACAAGTACGAGTATACTATTCTACTTCAACAAGGTAGCATAGTAAACCTTGTTCATCTACACTACCGTATGCATGCGTAGACAACCAAACCTTGAAAACTATACTACAAAACACAGTTATATATTAACCTAACCAAGCAAACCGAACTGCACGCAATTCTTCTGTGTTGTGTAAAGTTGATAAGGATCAGTCATGTAGATGTACACCTTCTGGTATACTATGCTACTTCAACAAAGTAGATTAGTTTGCATGGCTGGTTACTATACTATAAACGTTCCCAAATAGAATACACATCAACTTCATCTTCTTCCCCTACACTGACGAACCTCAATCTATGTTCACTAAAAAAACATTTTAGATTTACATAGTTTTTTCACCATCCTTTACAAAAAATCTTAACGAATCTTTGGTAAGAAGTCAAAAGAACACTCAATTTTGACAGATTACCTTTTTTCGTCTATACTAGTGGATCTGTAAAAGAAATTCCTTTTCATTTATTATTCACCTCGTTAGTAACGTTGTGGTGCGTTACGGTATTCAGTCAAGTGGGAGTTCACTTGATTCTATGATGAAACCTCTGTAAGCGCTACACCAATAAATATGAAAGCCATCGGAACCTCTGCTCTTCTGCCGCCGTTAACTGTTTGTCCTTAACAAACAAGACTCTCATTCACTATCTCTTATTCATTCTCTCGCCTATTTCGCATGTAAATTGGTGTGAAGAGAAAATGACTTTTAGTTATAGAACAAAGAAAGTGAGCTTTCTCACTTTCCACACATATTAAAGATATAATTGTTAAACTTAACCATAATATATATCATATCGTAGAGTATGTCATTTTATTAAATGTTAATTTTTTATGGATATGATTTCAAATTTGTCTTATATGAAAGATAAGATTGAATAATAATTTGGTGTTCAGAAAAAAAATTGACCAATAATTTAAGCAAAAATTATTGACTAATAAATACAATATCGAGCAAATCCACAATTAATTAATGTTAAAAAAAAGGTCCACAATTAGTTAAATAAATCTCTCTGTTGTATATAATAAATAAACTTAACCATATTGACTAATAAATACAACTAGGTGTTTTGTCCGCACTTGCGGGTTTAATAATTTTACTAATATGAATAAATAACTATATAATCAATTTAAGTAAATTATAATACATTATTGCTCATAGACTCAAAATATTTAATAATAAACTACACAAATTCTTTCTATATATAAAATTTTTCATCATCATATAATAATTTTCATTACACAAATTAATTTTAAAAATACTCATAAATTTAAAATATTTAGTAATAAATTAATATCACTTTAGACATAACAAAAATGTATAATAAAATTATCTTTAGTAATAGTTTGGATAACACAATATAAATTATCTATACATAATTTTTTTGCGAATTGATTTTTCATAATTAACTATATATTAACAAATAGAATTATTTTTCAAGGTTAATAAAGACTCTATAACACATTATAAGAAGTTAGATAAGGATAATTATTAAAATCATGAAATTCGTTTTTAATTTAGAATTAATTATAAATTAACAGATATAATTATTTTTCAAGGTTGATAAAGGCTTTATAACATAATATAATTTTTTTATCAAATTCATGAAATTCGTTTTTTAATTTAGAATTAATTATATATTAACAAATATAATTATTTTTCAACGTTGATAAATATTTTATAACATAATATAAAAAAATAAGGGATAATTATCAAATAAAATAAATTTGTTTTTACTTTATAATTAATTATATATTAACAAATATAATTATTTTCCAACGTTGATAAAGACTTTATAATCCAATATAAAATAGTTATAGATAAAGATAAATCTAAAATCATTGAAATTCGTTTTTATTTATGCTTAATTATATATTTAAATTTTTAATTATTCATTAAAGGTCTAAACGATATTAACCACTTCAACTTTTAACGTGAGAGCTCTGTTACGAAAAATCACTTCGCAAATAATAGTATAGATATCGAGCAAATCCATAATTAATTAATGTTCAAGAAAAAAAAAAGTCCACAATTAGTTAAATAAATCTCTCTGTTTTGTGCTCTTCCCTAAGATAATACATCCTGAAGCTGTGATGATGATGAAGAAGACAATCTTTAACAGCTGTAAAGATTTACACATCTCGAGTTTTAGTTAATGAACAAGAAAAGGGTGAAACCTTTCGTTGTTTCTCGGCCAAAAGAAAAAAACAATTCCTCTCATTTGTACATCTGATCTCAAGTGGTTGGTCCCTTTCCCTTTTCTCTTCCCACATCTAGTTTCTTCTCCTAACTCCAGAGTTTGGTTCTCAAAAGTGCTTTCCCTTTTCTTCTACCTTGAGATGTAAGTTGCTACCTTTCTTCCATAAGTATCTTTTCTCTGTTGGAATAGTCAAATATCTGCATCTGGGTTTGGTCGGATCGATGTCTTTGTCATGAGTAGTAGTTCTTAGTTGTTCGAATCAGTTCATACCCTTTTTGTATTGGTCTCTGTCCTGACTAGTTCTTAGTTGATTTGGTCAATTGTGAATCCTCTAGAGGTAGAAAACGGAGTGTGTAGGATTCTCATTGGTTGAAGCCAATTTCTTTTTTGATTTGGTCAAATCTTGATTATGGAGAATGGATAGTGTAAGATTCTGATTGGTTTCAACCTTAATTCTTTGTAGAAAGAGATGGGGACATACCTAAGTTCTCCCAAAACTGATAAGTTATCAGAAGAAGGGGAGAATGATAAACTCAGATATGGTTTATCCTCTATGCAAGGTTGGCGCGCCACCATGGAAGATGCGGTGAGTCAAAACCTCTAAAAAGTTTAATTCTTTGGTTTTTACTTCCCTGACTGAGCTCGTCTCTCTTGACTGTAACTGGTTTAATTGTGCTAGCATGCTGCAATACTTGATATAGATGATAAGACATCCTTCTTTGGTGTGTATGATGGCCATGGAGGTAATTAATTAGAACTATTGTTTGTTATTTACATCTGTGTATATACTTTTGGTACATTTTCAAACTCTTTACAGTGTTTTTGGATATCGTGTAGGTAAAGTTGTGGCAAAGTTCTGTGCCAAGTATCTTCACCAGCAGGTTCTCAGTAATGAAGCATATGGAGCTGGAGACATTGAAACATCTCTCCGAAGAGCATTTTTCAGGTATTGTTTGTTCTTCTCTATATTTAAAAAAGGGTTTCTACTTTTTCTTTTTTTTGATCATCAAAAAAAAAAAAAAAGGGTTTCTACTTAAAAGTGTTATATTGTAGAATGGATGACATGATGCAAGGACAGAGAGGGTGGCGAGAGTTAGCTGTACTCGGTGACAAGATGAATAAATTTAGCGGCATGATTGAAGGGTTTATATGGTCCCCAAGAAGCGGTGACGCCAATAAGCAGCCTGATAATTGGCCTCTTGAGGATGTAAATAGCTCTACTTTTTTGCTTATTATTCAAGAAGATTGAATTGGGACTTCTTCAGGTTTTAAAAAACGGTGCCTTTTGTTCACATGCAGGGTCCTCATTCTGATTTCCCGGGGCCTACTTCCGGGTGTACAGCATGTGTAGCTCTTATTAAAGATAAGAAGCTTTTTGTTGCAAATGCTGGTGACTCACGTTGTGTTATATCAAGGAATGGCCAGGCTTACAATCTTTCTAAAGATCACAAACCTGATCTTGAAGTTGAAAAAGAAAGGATACTGAAAGCTGGTGGGTTTATTCATGCTGGGCGAATTAATGGAAGCTTGAATCTGACAAGAGCCATTGGTAAGTTTTTCTTGTTCTCCCAACACTTCCATTAGAGCTTTTTGTTTTAAAGCATTGTTTCTGCTTCTCTATAGGTGACATGGAGTTCAAGCAGAATAAGTTGTTACCATCTGAGAAGCAAATGGTTACTGCTGATCCAGATATTAACACTGTAAGAATCTAACTGACTTATTGTTTTCATACTCGATTTTGGTTTGTTTAGGCTAATTTGTTATTGTTTTCTCTCCTTAGCTTGACCTATGTGATGATGATGATTTTCTTGTTGTTGCATGTGATGGAATATGGTAAGAAAAAATCCTCAAATGTTTCATTTTGTACATATGAGATGGTTTCTTGATGATGAATTTGATTTTGATCTCATCTTACTCAGGGATTGTATGTCAAGCCAGCAACTGGTGGATTTTATCCATGAACAGTTAAAATCTGTAAGTCAATCTGTTTCCTTCTCATCCTCTCTCTATTGCATTTTTTACTGTATGGGTCTGTGATATTACTACTTTCAGGAAACAAAACTTTCGATCGTATGTGAAAAAGTTGTTGATAGATGTTTGGCTCCAGACACTGCTAGTAGGGAAGGTTGTGACAATATGACCATCATCTTGGTTCAGTTCAAGAAGCCTAATAACCCATCTGAGACCGAACCAGAAGAAGAAACCAAACCTGAATCAAGCCAGGACGAGCCGAGCTCATCAAGCTAGAGTCCTTAAAAGAACCAGAATGAGATTTGACTTTGGTTCAATATTGTTAATGCTTTTTAGTGGCGTAGAAAAGCAGAAGCTGGCGTTCATTGAGATTTCAGTTTTTTTTTTCCGAGCTTCTATATACTCACAGACTGGTTCCATCGGTTCTTGTAATCAATAAACGACTTTGTATAGTTGTCTTGTGATTTATGGGAGAAAATGTTGTTAGATGTTTTATATTCTGATGTAGACAAACCATTTAATGATATTTAAAGAATGTTGTGTTCTTAATCAAAGTATTGCTTCTAAATTTCTGGACTGTAGCTGATAACAATTTTTTTTGGAGCTAGTAGCTGATGTACACAAACCTTTTCTATCTTCTTATTTGACTCAAAGTTTGTGATCCCTTTCATATTTTATTTTTTTCTAGAAAAAAAACGACTGAAAACATAGCAATAATCTCTACGGAAATACTGTATGTAATTTCAAATTACATATATTAAATACTCTTTCCATTTTTATTATTTATGTTTTAGAATTCTTTAAATTAATAAAATATTTTCTAAAACAAAGCATCAGTAATAGTATCTATCTAAGGGGAAAATGCACATTTAATTCCCCAACTATTTGAAATCGACAGTTTTAATACTCAAGTATTGCTTGCGCAAAATTAATCTTCAACTAATAGTTGAATGTGTAAAATTAAGAACGAAATAGTCAACCGTTAAAAAGTTGACGGAAACCGTTATCTTTCCGTTAACCAGTTAATTGTTGACTATTTCATTCATAATTTCGCGCAGTCAACTATTAGTTGGGGAATAATTATGCGCAGACAATACTTGAGTATTAAAACTGTCGAATTCAAATAGTTGGGGAATCTAAAACTTCAGTTTTTTTTATAAAAAAAAAATATAATTTAAAAGATTTTCAAGTCAGATACAATTAATATACAAAATTTTTACTTTTTGAAAGAGATTTTTGAGCTTTTACAATGACATGTACAATAATACAAATTAGTTGCAGTATATTGTTGAAATATTTCATGTTTATAAAATAAATTAAGATGATTTTAAAAATAATTCCAAACTAAAAATATTCTAAATTTGAACAAATATAAAACTGAACAAATAAACAAGATATTTACTTCTGGAAATGGATTTTGGGGTTTTACAAAAGAAAATAAAATAAGATAATGCATTTCATTGTATTGATGATGTACAATATATGATAGTCTAAAGTAGAGATAGCTACATATGATTGTTTAAAGTAAGGGTGACACTTCGGTTAGTTTTGCGGTTCGGTTTGGTTAATTCGATTCTTGAAATTTTCTATCTGATGTAAACCACATTTAGTTTGGTTTTGATCGGACATGTAATATACTTATTACAAGATTTTTACATGTCCAATCCAAACCAAATTAAATGTGGTTTACTTCGGATGGACAATTTTGAAAACCGAATTAACCAAACCAAAAAAATAATCGAAGTGTCCACTCCTACTTTTCTCTACAAGTAATATACAAGATTTTTGAGTTTTTACAGTGACATGTATAATAATACAAATAGTTATAGCTGCATTGTATTCTTGATGTACTTCATGTTTATAAAATCACATATGGATGATTACAAATCATTTACGGAATCATATATTGTAAATTAGATCTCTACTTATAAAAAAATGTGTTTTTTTCATATTTTTGTTCAAATTTAGAATCTTATTTGGAATTATTTTAAAAATCATCTTAAGTTATTTTATAAACATGAAATACATCAACAATATACTGCAACTATAATTATTTGTATTATTGTAAATGTCATTGTAAAATTTCAAAAATCTCTTTCAAAAATAAAAATCTTGTATATTAATTGTATCTGACTTGAAAATCTTATAAATTATATAGTTAAACAAAATTGATGTTTTAAATTCCTCCAGTATTTGAAATTGACAGTTGTAATACTCAAGTATTGCTTGCGCAGAATTATTGCCCGACTAATAGTTGACTGTATGAAACTAGGAACGAGCTAGTCAACCGTTAAAAAGTTGATGGAAACTGTTATCCTTCCGTTAACTAGTTAACGGTTGACGATTTCGTTCCTAATTTCGCGTAGTCAACTATTAGTCGAGGAATAATTATGTGCGAGCAATACTTGAGTATTAAAACTCCCGATTTCAAATAGTTGGGGAATTAAATGTGCATTTTTCCTCTATCTAAGTATATTTTAGCCATTTTATAAACAGATTGCATAATACAAATAGTCATCAAACATAAAATTAAGTAGTTAACAAATATTATATTAAACTCAATATCATCTATTTAAAAAAAACGTTAAATAAGAGAAAATAAAATAAATAAGTATTTGGCTGAAAGGATTCGTCAAAAAAAAAGTATTTTGGCTGAAAGGATAATATATCAATAAAAATGCTGCAGTGTGCAGTTCATAACAAAAAATTGCCTTGTATGGTGACTGTTAACTTTTTGTAAGATACAATTTTTTTCTACTTAGTAATTTTGCAAGAGAAGTTTTGGGTGGCATCTTGCATCCGACCCTATGTTTAGAGTTGCAAACTTTTCATCTATTTTATTAAAACAGAAGTATCCAATGTTATGCCACTGAAGTTATTAGTTAATCTATCTTATAGGATTTTTTGTGTTTTCATGTTTAATTAATGCATTTCCAAAATTAAATTATAACTAAAAATTATGAAAACAATAATCAATAAACCTACATTTTAGTATTCTTTGTCTTTTTCTATATATGTGTATTTGAAAATAAATCTACTTTATTAAAACAGAAGTACCCAATGTTATGCCACTGAAATTATTAGTTAATCTATCTTATAGGATTTTTTGTGTTTTCATGTTTAATTAAGAGTGATTTGCGGAAATATACAAGAAAAGAAAGATATTTAGGTTCAAACGCGGTTAACTTTTAAATTGGGTATGTTGTAAACACGTGGTTGCCGAACTTACCAGTTTGTCCCTATCATCAATATCCAGGTAAACTGAATATAGAAGGCTTGTAAGACAGCAAGTGACGTTTTGTCTTAAGAGGTTCCCAAAAATTATGATAAACAAAAAGGCGTCAAAACGCGCGTGTCGTTCACATTCCCACACCATATATTATTATTACAATAAAGCCAACTGTAGTCAGAGATACTGTTAGTTGCGATATTCCGTATGAAAAAGTTATGTTGTTTACATTTTGGAAAGGAGGTTATTAATGTTAAAAAAAGAAGGTTATCGATACTAACACGTCTCCCTTTCTGATCCACTCCTTTTAAATTGATTTAAATACCTGTGTGGTCAAAAAATACATCGAAACTGTGGCTCCCTATCTTCGTGAATCACGCAAGAAGATTCAAAGAGATGAAGGGTATTCTTGTAAATACTGTTACTGAGCTGGAACCTTACGTGTTGGAATATACTAATACGTCTATCACTCCGCCAACTTATTCGGTTGGACCACTTTTGCATCTTGAGCACCAAGTGGACGAGACACAAGAGGAGATATTGAGGTGGCTGGACGAGAAACCAGCTAGATCAGTAGTGTTTCTATGCTTCGGGAGAATGGGAGGCTTCGGTGAGGAACAAGTACAAGAAATAGCAGTGGCACTTGACCGATGTGGCCATAGTTTTATATGGTCTCTACGTCGCTCTTCACCGAATATACTAAATGAGCATCCTGAAGAGTTTAAGAATCTTGAGGAAGTTCTCCCGAGAGGGTTCTTGGAACGGACACAAGAGAGAGGTAAAGTGATCGGATGGGCTCCACAGGTGGCCATTCTCGCAAGTCCAGCGATAGGAGGTTTTTTCACTCATTGTGGGTGGAACTCGTTGCTAGAGAGTCTTTGGTTCGGTGTTCCAACAGCTGCTTGGCCGTTGTACGCAGAGCAAAAGTTCAACGCGTTTGAGATGGTGGAAGAGCTTGGACTGGCTGTGGAGATTAAAAGGTACTGGAGAGGCGATCATTTGGGAGGAGTGGCGGCAGTGGAATTGGTGAAGGCGGAGGAGATTGAGAGAGCAGTGAGGTGTCTGATGGAGCAGGATTGTGACGTGAGGAAGAGAGTGAAGGAGATGAGCAAGAAATGTCATGCAGCTTTAATGGGTGATGGATCATCGCGTATTGCTTTGCAAAGATTCATCCAAGACGTTGCCAAGAATATGGCACTGTAAATTAACCAAACCGGTTGACAGAGGTAACTAAATTACTTTTCAATCAAACCCGTAAGTGTTTTACTAACCGGAGTGGAAGAAGATAATGACAGAAATTTTATTTATTCATAAAATCGTGTCAGAAATATCTGTTTCTGATGCTACACTTATCATGAACAGAGACCACCTATGATTAGCTAGCCGGCTTCGCATTTAATGCACACTTCCAAAAACGTTTTCACAACATGTATACGTGTATGTATATATCATCACATTAGTAGGTTATGTCTGAAACATAGGGTTGCAGATATAGTGTATAGGGTTATAAATGTCCACAACATCACGTGTAACAGTACCCGAAATCCACTTTACGTTTGGCCTAAATAATCTTTCTTCTATGTATATTGCGTGCAATAACTCTTTAATTAATGCATTTCCAAAATTAAATTATAACTAAAAATTATGAAAACAATAATCAGTAAACCTACATTTTAGTATTCTTTGTCTTTTTCTATATGTGTATTTGAAAATAAATAAGTAATTAATAAACTTAGCTATAAATAATTACTCAACATATTATTTTGAAAAATAAATTATTATCTTTTTATCTATTAGTAATAACTAAAATGAAAATCATGAAAAATCATTTATATAATACATAGATTAATATAAAAATATATGTTTAAAGGTTGAAAAGTATAAAATTTATAGAACCATATATTTTAAATAATATATAAAATAAACTTATTATACATTATCATAAAATTTTGATTCCTAAAATTATAAGAATATATTTTACAAATATATGTATTATATTCTAAAAATAGGATTAATAAAATTGGTGGTTTACAAGATAAAATAAAATTACTTATATAAAATACTAAATTTATTGTGTTTACAAATATTATAATAAATAACTAGGTGTTTTGCCCGCACATGCGGGCATAATTCTCTTATAAATATTTATTAGTTGATGTTTCATTAATTTAAAAATCAGCATAGTGTTATTATTTATGTTTTCAAAAAGTAAAAATCAAACATCAAATAATTATCAATGACAAAACTCAAACATCGGAAATATTTAAAAGAATATATTTCTATAACTATTTTTCTTGATTTATATTTAATTATAATATCTATATCTTAATTTTAAATTTTATATTAGAAAAACATATTTTCAGGATAACAATATAATGCTAAGTTCTTTATTTTCTGAAAATATAATATGATATTTTTGTAACTATATAATAATTATATAAGATTAAAAAAATTATGACATATAATTAAAATTACCTAAAATCATTGAGAACTTAATGAATCAGCAAATTCACTTCTTAAATAATTTTTCTTGAGTGATGATTTATATTTAATTAATAATAGATAAGTTTTTCTATTTTACTTTTAAATTATATAATATAAAAATATATTTTCAAGATAACAACATAATACATAAGAATTACCATATTCTCCAAAACTATAATATTATTAGTGTAAATTTATTTCAATTATAGAATAATTACAACTTTTTATATCTTAATTTTAAATTTATAATAGAAAAATATATTTTAAGACAGCAAACTAATACATAAGAAGTATTTTATATTCTAAGAATCTGATACTAATATAAATTTGTTTTGAATATATAATAAATTATATAAATTGATAAATTATCAAAATTACCTAAAATCATGGAAAATATGACAAATCAGCAAACATCAAATTCACTTCTTAAATAGTATTTACTAGGTGTTTTGCCCGCACATGCGGGCATATCTCTTTAATAGATATCGATTAATAAATTTACTATTAGATTAAACTAAAAAAGAACATTAAATTTATATAATTTTATGAATCTTTTAATTTTTAAGTTTTAACTTTTATTGATTGAAACTTTGATATATATTTTTTTAAATGCACTGTTATTTTCAACCACTTTTTATTATATTATTTTATACATATTTATCTAATTATATAAACACACACACACACATATATATATATATATATATATATATATATTTGTTAATATAAGGTGTTGTTATTAAACCAAATTCTTATAATTAGCAAACCTACAAAATATAAAAGTAAATCAAAAACAGAAGAATGTTAGACGAACTCAACTTTACATATTATATTAATCACAAAATATAAAACTATTGATACATGTATGATCCTCCCATAATAACTGAATACACACTCAAACATACTGACTACATTGACAAACAAAAAATTAATGTATAATGTATATGTCAAAAACATTTCTTCTGTATTGTTATTTTCATTTCTAAATGCTATAATATAGAAAAACAAGCTAGCCAATCTATATTTTTACTTTAAAATGGAGGTAGTTATTTTTCTATATAAAATCATAATTTGTTATTTTCAAATGGTTTTTAAAATTTCAAACTTTAATAACTATAAGAAAAACAAATCATTTTAAAAATACAGTTTTTATAAATAAATAAGAAGTAGAGCAAACTTTCTTTACATAATAGTCTTTACAGAAATTTTAATTTAAACAAATTTATAATTCTGTGAGACATTTGCAAAAATATAAGTAAACAGAGTTAAAATAATTATATTTTATAAATATAAGACACTTGTTGTAAATAAAATATTAATATTTTGAAAGTATTCTCTTATGGAAGAAGATATTTTGAAAATACTTTAAAAGGATAATTTAATTCCTAACAAAAAAAAAATTTAAAAATAAAAACTTTTTTTTTAAGCTTTCAACTTAAATATCAAATAAATTTTATTCTTGCAACGTAAAAATAAGAATAAAAGTGAAAATAACACAAAAATCACGTTAACAAAAAAAATATAAATCAAATTTATTGTTATTGCATATATTACTCTTTTTGGCATTTTTATAGTAAAATAAATTTAAGCATTATTTTAAAAATATGCCATAACATATTAAGTTTACAAAAAAATATAAATCATTTTTTGTTATTTTCTATTATAATATTTTAATATTTTAGTGTAAAGATAAATCTAATTATTATATTTTATATATACTAATAATTGTAAAAATTAACAAACAAGAAAAAAAGATGTAGCTAAACACAAAATAAATAGGAGAACTATCTTTGATTTTTTCAAACACGTTTTTAATTTTATTGAGATAATTTTTCTAATATTAATTTGTAAAAAAATAAATAATGAATTATATAATTATTTATTATTTATATCAAAACTTTAATCAAAACTAATTAAATTATTATTAAAACTAATGATTCAACCACAGACCATGGAGAAGGTGACTCTAATACCTAGGCTTGATTTATATTTAATTCTAGTTTTTATATGTTAAATTCAAAATTTAATAATAGAAAAAATTTAAAGATAAATTTAATTATCTTATTTTATAAGAATATTATATTATTAATATAAATTTGTTTTAATCATATAACAAATTATATATAAAATTATTAAAAACATGACAAATAAATAAAATTAGAGAAATTATGATAAATGATCAAAATTATATAAAATCTTTTAGAAGTTAACAAATTAGTAAATTTGTCTTTCAAATAAATTTGCTTGATAATTTATATTTAATTAATAATAGATAGTTTTTCTATCTTAATTTTGAGTGTCATAATAGGAAAATATATTTTCAAGATAAAAATATAATACATAAGAGTTATCTTATTTTTGAAAAATATAATATTATTAATATAAATTTGTTTTAATTATATAATAGATATAATAATTTTTATATCTGAGTTTAAAATTTAAGTTTTATAGTAGATAATATATTTTTAAGATAACAACATAATATTCAAGAATTATCTTATTTTCTAAAAATATGGTATTATTAATATAAATTCGTTTTAATTATAAATAAATTATATATAAAACATCAAAATATGATAAATAAGAAAAATTACCTAAAATCATGGCGAAGTTGACAAATCAGCAAATTTACTTCTTAAATAATAGTATAGCAATATTATTAATATAAATTTCTTTTAATAATATAATACTCCTATATAATAATTTTTATATCTGAGTTTAAAATTTAAGTTTTATAGTAGATAATATATTTTCAAGATAACAACATAATACTGATATTATTAATATAAATTCGTTTTAATTATAATTAATTATATAAAAAACATTAAAAATATGATAAATAAACAAATTTACCTAAAATCATGGAGAAGTTGACAACTCAGCAAATTTAGTTCTTAAATAATAGTATAGATAGATTTTTTACATGTTAATTTTAAATTTTATAATAGAAAAATATTTTTTTCAAGATAACAGCATAATACATTAGAATTAACTTATTTTCTAAAATATCATATTATTAATATAAATTAGTTTTAATTATATAATGAATAATAAAAAAATTGTAGAAATTCTGAGAAATAATCAAAATTACCTAGGATCAATGAGACAAATCAACAAATTCACTTTTCAAATAATTTTTTTGATGATTTATATTTAATTATTAATAATATAATTTTATCTTAATTTTAAGTTTTATATTAGGAAAATATACTTTCAACATAACAACATAATCCATAATGATTATCTTATTTTATAAAAATATTAAATTATTATTATAAATTCTTTTTAATTATATTTAAATATTAAATTATTAATATAAATTCGTTTTAGATAAATATAATAGTGTTTATATCTTAATTTAAAATTTAAGTTTTATATATAAAAATATATTTCAAGATAACAACACAATTCACAAGAATTATCTTATTTACTAAAAATATAATATATTCATATAAATTCGTTTTATTTATAAATAAAATATATATAAATATTAAAAATATGATAAATAAACAAAATTACCCAAACTTATGGAGAACATGACAACTAAGAAAATTTACTTCTTAAATAATAGTATAGATTATTTAAATAAATAAAGACTAAAATAACACCAATTCAAGTTTTTGTCCTCAAACTAGCATCCAAGGCTAAATAGCACAAAATATGTTTCATTAAAGGGATAATTTACCCTTATGTTCATTTTTTGATTAATTAAAAAATAATAGATTAATAGATGATTTATCCTTATGCCATTTTTTTTATTTATTTACTCTAAAACCCTAAACCATGAAACTTCAATTCTAAACCTTAAACCCTGAAACTTCCACTCTAAACCCTGAAATATCAATTTTAGAACCCTAAACCTTGCAACTTCAAATTTAAATCATAAACCTTAAAACATCAATTCTAAACCCTAATCACTGAAACTTCAACTCTAAACCTTAATCCTGAAACTTCAATTCTAATCCCTAAAGCGTGAAATATCAACTCTAAAACCCTAAACCCTGAAACTTCAACTCTAAACCCTAAACCCTGAAACATCAACTCTAAAACCCTAAAACCTAAAATTTCAACTCTAAATTTAAACATCAACTCTAAAACTTTAAACCCTGAAACTTCAAATCTAAACCCTAAATCCTGAAACATCAACTCTAAAACCATAAATCTTGATGTTTTACTTCTAAACCCCTGAAACATCAATTCTAAAAAACTTTAACCCTAAAACTTCAACTCTAATCCCTCAAACATCAACTCTAAAACCCTAAACCATAAAACTTCAACTCTAAACCCTAGACCATGAAACATCAACTTTAAAACCCTAAAACCTAAAACTTCAACTTTAAAACCTAAAACATCAACTCCAAAATCTTAAACCTTGAAACTTCAAATCTAAACCCTAAATCTTGAAACATCAACTCAAAAACCATAAACCCTGATGTTTTACTTCTAAACCACTGGAACATCAACTCTAAAAAACTCTAACCCTAAAACTTCAACTCTAATCCCTAAACCCTGAAATATCAACTCTAAAACTCTAAACCTTGAAACTTCAACTATAAACCCTAAACCCTGAAACATCAACTCTAAAACCTGAAACTTCAACTCTAAACCCTGAAACATCAACTCTAAAACCTTCAACCCTGAAACTTCAAATCTAAACCCTAAATCCTAAACATCAACTCTAAAACCCTAAACCCTGATGTTTTACCTCTAAACCCTTGAAACATCAACTTTAAAACCCTAAACCCTGAAACTTTAACTCTAAACTCTAAAACATCAGCTCTAAAACCTTAAAACCTGAAACTTCAACTCTAAACCCTACACCCTGAAAATCCAACTCTAAAACCCTACACCTTGAAACTTCATCTCTGAATTCTAAACCCTGAAACATTAAATCTCAAACCCTAAATCTTCAAACTTCAACTTTAAACCCTAAACCTTGAAACTTCAACTCTAAACCCTGAAACATCAATTCTAGAACCCTGAGCCTTGAAACTTTAACTCTAAACTCTAAACCCTGAAACTTCAACGATAAACCCTTCTGAAACATAAAATTTAAACCCTACATCTAAACCATAAACCCTCAACTTTAACCCTTAATCCCCAAACTCTATATTTTTCCAAAATTCAAATCTGAAACCCCAAAACCCTTAATATATTAAAATCTGGATGATATATTATTGTTCATGATAGGCTTCACAGTAATGCATTATAAGATTTGGAAAGCCTTGAGCGTGTTCAGGATAGGCTTCCGGATAATATATTAATCTTCAGGATAATGTATTATAAAATTTAGAAAGCCTTGAGCGTGTTCCGGATGGGCTTCCAGATAATATAATAATCTTCAGGATAATGTATTATAAAATTTGGAAAGCCTTGAGCGTGTTCATGATGGCATTCCAGATAATATATTAATCTTCAGGATAATGTATCATAGCGTGTTCAGGATGGACTTCCTGATAATATATTAATCTTCAAGATAATGTATTATAAAATTTGGAAAGCCTTGAGCGTGTTCAGGATGGGCTTCCGGATAATATAAAAATCTTCAAGATAATGTATTATAAATCTTGGAAAGCCTTGAGCGTGTTCAGGATGGGCTTTCTGATAATATATTAATCTTTAGGATAGGATTTATGGTTTTAGGATTAGAGTTTAGAGTTGATGTATTAGGGTTTAAGGGTTTAGAGTTTAGTATATTAATCTTCAGGATAATGTATTCTAAAATTTGGAAAGCCTTGAGCGTGTTCGAGATGAGTTTCCAGATTGAAGATAATGTATTATAAAGTTTGGAAAGCCATGAGCGTGTTCATGATGGACTTCTAGATAATATATTAATCTTTAGGATATAGTTTAAGGTTTAAGGTTTAGGGTTTAGGGTTTACAGTTGATGTTTTAGGGTTTATGGCTTAAAGTTCATGTTTTAGGGGTTTGGGTTTTGGGTTGATTTTTTTAGGGTTTAGGGTTTAGGTTTAGAGTTTAGGGTTGAAGGTTTAGGTTTTAGGATTTAAGGTAATTTTTTAGGATTTAGGCTTTAAAGTGTAAGGTTTAGAGTTTAGGGTTTAGAGTTGATGTTTTATGGTTTAGAGTTTAGTATATTAATCTTCAGGATAATATTTAAAGTTTGGAAAGCCTTGAGCGTGTTCAGTATGGGTTTCCGGATTGAAGATAATGTATTATTAAATTTGGAAAGCCATGAGCGTATTCAGAACGGGCTTCCAGATAATATATTAATCTTCACGATAGACTTTAAGGTTTAAGGTTTAGAGTTTAGGGTTTTGAGTTGATGTTTTAGGGTTTATGGCTTAAAGTTCATGTTTTAGGGGTTCGGGTTTTGGGTTGATTTTTTTAAGGGTTTAGGTTTAGAGTTTCGGGTTAAAGGTTTATGTTATAGGATTTAAGGTAATCTTTTTAGGGTTTAGCCTTTAAAGTGTAAGGTTTAGTGTTTAGGGTTTAGAGTTGATGCTCTAGAGTTTAGAGTTTAGTATATTAATCTTCAGGATAATGTATTCTAAAATTTGGAAAGCATTGAGCGTGTTCAGGATGGGTTTCCGGATTGAAGATAATGTATTGTGAAATTTGGAAAACCATGAGCATGTTCAGGATAAGCTTCCAGATAATATATTAATCTTCACGATAGACTTTAAGGTTTAAGGTTTAGAGTTTAGGGTTTATGGTCTAGGGCTTAAAGTTCATGTTTTAGGTGTTTGGGTTTAAAGTTGACTTTTTCAGGGTTTAGGGTTTAGGTTAGAGTTTAGGGTTGAGGTTTAGGGTTTAGGATATAAGGTAATTTTTTAGGGTTTAGAATTGTGGTTTAGTGTTTAGGTTTTAGGGTTGAGTTTACTTTTATGGTTTAGGGTTTAGTGCTGATAGTAAGGTTTAGAGTTGAGGTTTTAAGGTTTAGGGTTTAGAATTAAGGTTTAGAATTTATGGTTAATGTTTTAGGGTTTATATTTGAATGTTTAGGGTTTAAAGTTAGAACTGTGATTTAGGGCTTAAGTTTTAGGGTTTAGAGTTTATTTCTATGGTTTAGGGTTTAGGGTTTACAGTTGAGGTTTAGGATTTAAGGTAATTTTTAGTGTGAAAGATTGAGAATTTGTTTTAGGGTTTAAGGTTAATTGTTGATGGTTTAGGATTTAGAAAGGTTTAGGGTTTAGGATTTATGTTTTAGGGTTTAGGGTTGAAGGTGTAGAGTTAGTATTTTTAGGGTTTAGGGTTTAGTATTGATAATAATATTTAGAGTTAATATTAATTAAAAGCAAGAATATTAAAGACTTTTTGTCCATTAATGAAGGTCATTTTTGTGAATTTTCTCTTCTAATGCTAATTTGAAGACAAAAACTTTAGAATTGCTATTTCGGTCAATTGCTCTTATTTAAATGAATAATTTTTTAAAAATATATATTATCAATTATAAAAATATATATATGTATTTATAAAGAAAAAGTAATAATAAACACTGCAGGTGTACTTCTCTCATGTTTAGTTGTTTATATGACATAAATAAATGTTTAATAGCCACCAAAATAATTCAATATACTCATTAATTTTGGAAAATACATCATAAAAAGATTTAAAATAAATAAATAAATAAAATCTACACGGTCGTACGGATGAAAATCTAGTATAGTCTAAGGGAGATCAATTATTTAAAATTTTATCATTTTCTGGCGATCTTGCTAAATAATAAATTGAATTTAATAGTAGCGTAGCGAAGAGCCAAGACTAGTTTTGCAAGAGAAGTTTTGGGTGGCTTATCTTGCATCTGACCCAATGTTTAGAGTTGCAAACTTTTCATATAGTTTAAGAGAGATCAGTTATTTAAAATTTTAACATTTTCTGGTGATCTTGATAAATAATAAATTGAATTTAATAGTAGCGAAGAGCCAAGACCAACATAGATCTCAAAGCTAACAAGACGTAATAAAAGAGAAACTAAAGAAAAAGAAAAAGCATTTTAGAAACAAAAAGCTAATCCATAAGGCAAAACCCACATGGTTCCAAATCAGAACCAAGCCCATAGACCAAGAAGAAGACCTAACACAACAAACCCACCACCAAGCCTAGCTGAGCCACTAGTCATAGCTGGAGCCACGGCTGGACCATCTTCAAACTCAACCGGAGAAGGAGCCGGAGATAAAGCTCTGTGACGAGGACTAACCACAACAAGGCTCAGCTTCTGACCTTTCTCACAGTGACCATCGGCTCCACTAATGAAGTAAAATGGACCGGACCTGTCCAGTTTCACCTTGGTCTCTCCATCGGTGTATGTAGCCAAAGGGTTCGTGGTGTTACAGCTCTTGTATGCTCCTTGTGTTACTTGCAAAACAGAGTCTTTACCAGCTTCATACCGAAAAACTGAAATAAAAAGATGAAGTTAACGAGTTAGAAACAGAGCATGTAGTAGAAAACAGAGCATCTATAAAACAGAGCATGTACCGATAAAGTCGCCGACTTTGAAACGAGCTTTTTGAGCCCATTCCGTGAAGGAGTAAGATGCGGAAGGAGGGATCTTCCAGTCACCAGACTTTCCACCAACGGTGACTTCATTTGCAGCGGCGAGAGAGCATAAGAAGACGAAGGAGAAGATGATAGCCACAGGGGATGAAAAAGAAGCCATGGATGTAAAATAGACAGAGTATATGAAAATCTTTACTAGTTAAAATTAAAAAGAGAAAATTTAGACTTTGGATTTCCTTTTACTAATGTTTTGGAGATGTTTGTTGATACTGAAAGAGGCTCTTGTGATGATTTATAGTGGTGAAATTCGAAAACTAGCCGTTAGATTTTTTTCTTTAATTAAAGTAGAAAGTGTAAAATTGTTACTGTAGCCGTTGGTAAGCTGCCGTGTTGTAACGTTAGAGAAATCTTGAAAAACGCAAATAGTTTTACTGACATATTTGTGTCAGCCAAGTTATGAGGGTTTCTCATTTTTAGCTTTTTATATTTGAAAAAATAAATAGTAATTTCAGGAGAAATAAACGAAGTAACAAAAGTATACATAAAATATACAGAGAACTATAACTTAATCCGTGTACCCATAGAATTAGTTTTTATTTTTTATTATTTTATAAATTGTAATTTCTTTTTAATAATTAAATAGACTTTAATCCGTGCGTTCGCACGAGTGTAGTTTTTCAAAAATATATTTTTATTTTTTATATCATTATTATATATCATATAATTAAATATTATTTTATACGTATTATCATATATGAAATCATATAATTAATAGTATTTTATATGAACCATCATATAAATTAGTGCTAAATTTGCGGATCGATCCGCTCCACTGCGTGTTGAATCATTCTTTTGATTCAAAACTTTGATCCGCTTTACCCGCAATTAAAAAAGATTATACTTGCACCCCTTTCGATTAAATTTATTGATAACCCCAAAGATTCACGGATAACATTAAAAATAATTTTTTTAATATTTTGTAAAGTAAAATAATATATTTTAGTTATCTTTTTTATATTAATAATTTTTAATTATTTAAAAATAAAATCATTTTAAAAATAATCTTTTTAAAAAAATATATTTTGCGGATTGGCGGGTACATGCAGTTTAAATTCGACTGATCCACACCCGCACTTGCCTCACATATTTTTCAAATATGTTGATCCCCACCCGCCCTGTAGTAGGTCAAACATGGCGTGACCCATGTGTAAAGAGTCAAATTCACAAGCTTAATATAAATAATCACATATATTATATTTTAATTTTTTTGTGAAATATAAAAAATTACAATATAAATTGGTGTTTGAAATTGGACTTTGTTTTGTATTTTTCTTATATATAGTGAAATTCTTTTTTTTTATAATCGTTATTGGAAAATATTTTTAGTAAAAATCAATTTTTGAATATATGTATACTTTAGAACCAAATTTTGATATAAATTAATTTTAAATTATTCTTTTGATTTGAAATATGTATATAAAGTTTAAATTTTGTATTTTGATTATTTTAAACAAAAGATCTTTTTAGGTAACTAGATTGGCCAATTTGCATATATTGTAAAGCTGGCCCAAATAGATAGTTTGTTATAGAATTTTCAATTTTTCTTAATAACTAAGCCCATTTTTTTCTAAATATACTGCAATCCATTATCAAACAACAATATATTCTTTTTATTTAATGTTATTCATTTCAAACAACTATTAAATGTACTTCAGTTTTAATAATATAGATGTTATATATTTTACATGTATACCACATAATGAATTATATATTAGTTATTTGAATATTTTTAGGTTTACCTCAGAATTGAACCCAATTAGAATCGGGAAATATGGTTTTGTTTTTTTGGTTATATTTAGATTTTTTTTAGTTTGGGTAAAAAAATCTGATCCGAATCGGGTTATATGATTCATTTTGGTAAAAATATCCGAACTCATTTTAAATATATTCGTTATTTGAAAATGTTAGGTTCCTCTACATTAGAATCGAATCTACCCAGACTGAGGAGGACCTGACTCGAAACCACCCATAAATTTATAGAACCCGAGTAGAGCCTAATTTCGAAACCCAAAAAACTCAAACATGAAAAAATGCTTCGTAGCTGAACGGATACTCGACTGCCCACCTAACTGATTCTGTAAACAAATTACAAAAATTCTTTGTTAATCATGTTAAGTTCTGGTCACAAATGGAGAAATTTCATCCAAACATATCGAATTATTATGATTAACATATAAAATAAATGTTGTTGAATTATTATAGTAAAAACAATTAATAAAATAGTTAAGAAGAGTGAAAAAAGAAATGTAATAAAATACTTAAAATTGATAAGTTATGTCTTGTATTTCTATAAGAAATGTTGATTTAGATAAAAAAAAAATATAAAATAATTAGAGTTATGTAAAAAGAAATGAAAATCTGTAAGGAACCACTTAAAAATAGACAAATATTACTTTTACTTCAGTTTTAATAAAATAGACTATAAGAAGAATGATTTAGTGGAGGTTATTGGTTAGTGTAATTTAATGGATTTGGAATCCAAACTAAAGCTTTGAGTGTAATACATTTATTTGGGTGGTTCATATACATAGAATGGATGACCCATTTTTCCTTTCCCATTCACAAAATTATTAAAAATTATGAATGATCCACTAAATATACCACTTTTAGAAAGTCAAAATATAACATTTTTCTTTGGTCATTATACTGACTAAAAAGATGGTACAAGATAAACACACATCAAATAAGAGAGTAAATGACATATTTGACCTCAATTATTTGAATCGTGCTAAATACAATCCGAACAAATGATATGTGCTAATGCGACCCAACTTAATTATAATTCAAAAGAAATATCTAAACATTTTAAAATGTGCCAAAATCTACATTGACCGTTATCATTGACCCTAATGGTCGTTAGTCAAGTTTTTTCTTTAACAATTTTTTCAACTTAGGGGGATTCAAACCCAGGTTCAGACATCCACTTGCCTAGTCATTGACCACTAAACCAAGTTACATATATGTTCAAATGATATAACATGTACCATATATACATATGGAAGTGAATCATCTCCCCCCCCCCCCCCCCCCCCCC